TTATTGCACAGTCCAATGCCGAAACTGAGTATGTTTTGGCTTGTGAAGCCTGCACGAAAGGTTAAAGTTTGAAGAACATGCTAAGTGAAGTGTTTTTTTTGAATTGCGAGTACGTTTATGCTTGAAGTTGACAATCAAGCAGCCTTTGTAATGCAAATAATCTTACTTTTAGTCGGCGTACTCGACAAATCGAGCTCTGTTGGCACTATATGGGTAACCAAGTTGCTAAGAAGACCGTGGATCTTTTGGAATGTACTCAGAGGACAATCCGTCGGATGTGTGTACGAAGCTACTCGCGAGATCGCGTCTTGAAAAGCTTTGTGTGCCAAAATGGCAGACCACGGATCCTTTACTAAAGGCGTGACTTCCGAGGGGGCGTATTGGAAACAGCGCCTTTCTTCATTTGACGTTGGCGATGTAATTAAAGATGAAGTGGACATTGATGATGAAGAAAATGCTTCAATCCGCAGACCTAGCTCTGCATCCCAGTGCAACGTCCCAACTAGGTAGCCAACGCTTTCATGTGTATGGGCGAGCAAATCACATGTCGATCTAAGGCTTACCTATTGTTTAATTTGTTGACGTCTTTTCTTTTGACGTCGTTTCCATTGCTCACTACGTTACTTACTGATATTACATTAACTATTAATGTACACATATTGAAGCTATACATGAAAGCGGCGTCCAGTGCTTTCGGCAAAGGTAGTGCGAAGTCCGTTCTCAATCGTGCATGTCGACAAGAAAATGGTATAGCTTTTTTTACTGCTCGTAATTCGGTAGAAAGAAGGTTTTCTTTCACTTTGTGAACGGACCTAACAATGAGGACATGATCTACTTCATCGGAGCAGGCCTCTTCATCTTAGTGGGTAGCACATGCGCTGCAGTGCCCTATTCCACATGTTGACAAGAGATGTTGATCCTTTACATTTACTTGTTATTTGACTTATGCGAGCACATTGCGCGTGATCATTTTTATCCCACGCCCAATCAGACACTTCTTTTTTTGGTATGAGCAACGGACCGGACAAGAGCGCATTGCAGCTACGTTTCTGCAGCGACGACTGTAAGATGTAGGTGAGCCTCAAGATATTTTTATCCACAACAAATCGAAGTGCTTTCTTTAAGCTCAAGTTCTGTTTACATTCAACGAAACAAAGCGGTTCGACTGCTTTGACAAAGAATGCGTCGTTGACCACTGATGATAGATTACACCTTTCTACGATACACGTGATCTTGTGTTCCGGCCATTCTTGTCTCTCGTCTATTCTTGGCAGCACATCACAATGCTGGCACACATATAGTGCGTGACACAGCGCTCTTGATGACATAATTCGCAAAAGGCGGTGTTCAAATGAACGACAAATATCTGCGTGAACGCGCCCGATCTATGACCCCTGGTATCCCCAAAAACAAGATAATGACGCAGTCCCGAATCGTCTGAGGTCAATTATGCAAATCATCAGCCAACCGTACTGCTACATTCTGCGAAGACTCAAACCCGTATGTTTCGTGACCTATCCTGTTTGTGTTCGCTGCAAGAACACTACCACGTTCATAAAAATCTTCCTTGGCAAATTATCGTGATTTATGGATTTAGCGGAAATTTGGCAATGCGATTCTTGGCAGCAGTGCAGGCGAGATCGGTTGACGTGCATCCGGTCACACTGCAGCAAGTAATCGGTGGATCGAAGTGTATGCTGTCCTCAACGACTAAATCGAGGGAGTCCAAAAAATACTGATCGTTTCGCCGAACTTGCTGTAGTATTCGACATCGCTGTATGAGCATAACCCTCACATACCTTCTGACTCATGATGAGTGCTCAAGAATATGAGAACGTATAGATTTGTCAAAGGTGACTCATGCAGCGGCAATTTTCATATCCGACCGTTTGGTCACTATCGACACAATGCGTGTTCGCATCACCGAGATGACTCGCCTGCGATTTGTTGAGAGTGTCCGATCAGCAAACGCCATTTTCCAACACATCCATGTGAAACAGTCTTGATGCGTATGCTTTAAAACTTGGTCGTATTGACCATATTTAGAATGCGCCTCTTCATTCTTTTGGCCACAAGAACACTAGACACTTGATGTTACGAATAGTTGTCACACAGTCGATCTCTTACTGCAAGAAGGCTTGCTTGTCCAAGTCTTTATCCCTTGCAGACCTGACTATAACGAGATAGAACAAGGAGTGCGGAAACTTAAAGACGTAATAAACTAGGACTTGATGCGCGCAATGCTCAAACTTGGTGCTGAAGTGGAGGACGCCTTAAGGCACTAGACTATTGCGCTATCGTCAACTAACTGTTTGACGGTCTGCACCCAACGACATGTACTTTGTCTGGTATTAAGACTGGTTAGAATCCTTCTCATCAACACTGATTGATCGATTTGAGCTCGTAAATCCTTACGTATCTCTAGACGACTACGATTTTGCTAAACCATTCGCGTGTTACCATAGACTACTAGGCTAGGATGAGAACGGGGTGAGTTCAGCTAGTGCCGCCGACAGTCTTTTACTACCTATCGGTCAAGATACAGCATGGTGTCAGCGGTCTTGCTGGGCAACGCCGCCAGATGCATGGCAGATGTTCGCTTCCCTTAGGGACGTATCAAGACAACGCGAATGCTCGATCCTTCTTAAAATATATAAGACCGACAGAGAATGCAAAGCCCTACGATCTGTAAGTATTTTAGTCGCAAGAAACTAGTCAACACACAAGCAGAGCATGAGGTCCGTTTACAGTCGGCACTTGACAATCAATGATGGGACACAAGTCGAACCGTTACGCTCGTATCGCAGTGATGTATTTCTCGCCTGTCGGCATGACGTGGTGTCTCACTAATCTACAATCTTCATTTAAAGGTGAGAGGGACGTAAATACAAACTTCATGCGAAGCGGATCACGTAAAACAGTGTAATTTCAATATCCGGAAGTGTTGATGCATGAGACCAAAGATCACCTACTGTCTCGTACATGTCGTACTGACCGCCGGTCATCTGATCCATCGCATCAACGTAGACTACAATCACGCGTTAACATCAGTTGATACGTTTCGCCCATACTGTACACTTTCCCCATTGAATTGAACATCGTGTCCCAGTAAATGTGCATCTTTGGTGTCTTGCAGGAATACTGCAGGATAAGCGGACATTCAGGTTACCTTGTCTCCGTAACAAACAGCGACCCCCCCCCCGCTGCTGGAACGCGACTGATATAAATAACTTACGAAACTGGTTTTGCCGGGTACCATGTACCGCGAGCGGACGCGTCCCCTTTTGCATTGTCCGATTGGCTCGACCATGTCGTCGTCGTCCGCTCCTGAGCGTACCATCTTCGTGTCGTCCCGCAAGAGCCCGTTGGCTATGGCACAGACCACTACCGTCATCTCCATGCTTGAGAGTCGCTTTCCAGCTCTTCGCTTCGTCGTGGGACAAGAGGACACTGTGGGCGACCAAGTTCTGGATCGCCACTTGAGTGACTTGGGTACATCCACTGCTTCTGGCCTCTTTACCAAGAGTCTAGAGGAAGCGCTTCTTGCAAAGACCGCCCACTTTGCTGTACACTCGCTCAAGGACATGCCGACGACGCTACCAGATGGTCTCGTGCTAGCTGCCATCACTAAGCGAGAGAGTCCAGAGGACGCAGCGATCGTTCATCCCAAGCACAAGGCCAAGGGTCTCACGAAGCTCCAGCAGCTACCAGAGAAGAGTATCATTGGCACGAGCTCGCTGAGACGTGAAGCGCTGATAAGGAGCCATTTTCCGAGCTTTGAGGTCAAGACGCTGCGCGGCAATATCCAGACGAGATTGGCCAAGCTGGATGAAGCTGACGAGTACGACGCAATTATTGTGGCGGCCTGCGGGTTCCGGCGTGGCGGATTGGGCGACCGCATTGACGAGATTCTGCCGATCGACTCGTTCGGATACGGCGTTGGTCAAGGAAGTATTGGCGTGGAGTGTCGGGCGGATGATGAGCAGGTTGTGTGGAAGTGGAGTAGTTCATGTTGGTGGTCGAGCGTGTTTTGATGTTTGTCTGGTATACGTATCAGACAATTGCGATGCTCAAGACGATAACGGATGAAAAGTCGGCGCACTTGTGTAAGGCAGAGCGCAGTTTGCTGTACCATCTCGAAGGCGGATGTCAGGTGAGGTGCTTAGTTTGTCCGTGATAAGGAGAGACTAGTGTGTCTGTGCGTGTCAGCAAGTCTTAACGTACCCACTGAGTAGATTGCTATGGGAGTGAGTGCAGCACTGGATGGGGATACACTGACGTTGAACGCAACGGTTCTGTCCCGTGACGGCAAGAACAGCGTTCATGGTGCGTTCGTGGTTTGGACATCATTTGACTGAGGTATGTGATACTCGTACTCACTTGTGACTGTTCTATTGCTACTACTTGCAGAAAGTATCTCTGGATCCTGTACAGAAGATGAAGAGCTCGGTAAGAAACTGGCTGGACGCTTCTGGAACAACGAGCTGGCCCGACAGGTGCTTGGAAAGACCCACGAAAAACGTGCACTGACGTATGGTGATGCAGAAGCTCCTGGTGATGCTGCTGCTGCTGCTACTGCAGCAGCATCAATGTCAGAGAGGATTGAGAGCTCCAAGTAGGTAGAGAGGATAACGTCACCAACAGCAGTATAGAGAGAGACTTCTGCCCATGATCGACGTCATTGTGTATCCATATTCTATGATAGTGAATGTACCCATATGCAAATAGACTAATGCAGAAAAGGTACAGTGAGACTGGTCCGTCTAAGTACGAAATGCTAGGTTCCAGTCATTTTCCAAGTCGGTCGTGACCACCTTCACCTCAACTGTCCACCCGGGTTTGTCCACCTAATTGCACGTCACGCATTGATTCCAGCTCGTCTTGCCGTCGTTAGCACTTCAGTACCAAGCTTGGCCTCTCCTCTATCTGAGACTGCACGTTACACGCTCTAACACTCATCGATCGCTTCAGAATCTGCAAACCAAACAAGCGCCGGAACGATGACCAGTAACACGTTAACGCGTACTCAGAATAGCCGCGTGCTGCAGGCTTTTCGCGCCATTGGCATCGTGGTAGCTGATGTACCACTTGTGTGGTATGGCATGGGTAAAGCGAGCTTTGCAACGGCGTCGCTGGGCAAGTCTTTTATCGTGTACAAGTGCGACAAATTAACGCCTGTGCTCGTGTCGCCTCAGCTGCCCAAGCGCATTGCGGCCTTGGCCGTACAGCCTCAGAGACAATTGACTTTTACAGCCTGTGGCCGTCAAATTATAGTTTGGAATCGAGTGGATAGGGTCCAGACATTGGTTGGACACAAAGGAGCTATTAAACAGCTCATGACTGTGGGCACGGTCCTCTTTTCACTGGATGACGCGCGTAGCATCATCATGTGGGACTTGGACACGTTGAAGATTATTGACACGTTGAGTTTTCCAGTCCAGTTTGAGCCTACGAGAATGCTGCACCCAGACACGTACTTGAACAAGATCTTGATCGGGTCCAAACAAGGTCCGTTGCAGCTCTGGAACGTCCGGAAGAAAACCTGTGTGTTTGAGTTTACAGGATGGGGCAGTGCTGTGACGGCGCTCGAACAGAGTCCTGCGGTGGACGTTGTGAGTATCGGTCTGGCAGATGGACGGCTGATGGTTCATCACTTGCAGCTCGATCAGCGCGTGCTAGACTTTCGACAGGAACAGCAGAGTGGAATCACAGCCATGTCTTTCAGAACGGATGCAGGTGCATCGACGACACCGTTAGCCGTCTCGGGATCGCGCTCTGGTGATATTGCCGTGTGGAATCTGCAAACGAAACGTCTGGAGTCGGTGATTGCGAACGCGCACGATGGCGCTGTGATGTCGCTGCAGTTCTTAGCTAATGAGCCGTTATTGCTGTCGTCGGGTACGGATAACTCGATAAAGCTGTGGATCTTTGACCACCTAAATGGCGGTACTGCTCGCTTGTTAAAGTCTCGTGAGGGTCACCATGCGCCACCGACGCGCATCCGTTATTACGGTAACAACACGCTTGCTACAATGGCAGACGGTGCTGACGGCACATGCTGTCAGATTTTGTCCGCCGGGCAGGACCGCGCCTTCCGTGTCTTCCACACCGCTCGTGAGCAGCAAAGCAGAGAGATGTCCCAGGGCCCAGTTCTCAAGAAAGCGCGCAGCTTAAATGTGCGCGTCGAGGACTTCAAGCTACCGCCTATCGTGCAGTTTGCTGCTATGGAGACGCGTGCACGCGATTGGGCAAACGTAGTTACGTGCCACGAGAACGAAATTGCAGCCTATGTATGGCGTTTTGATCACCGTGCTATTGGCAAGAAGGTGCTTCGTCAGTTCGACCCGAGCAACCGCGCTCCTTCTGGTAGCACGGAGGATTTGCGTCGCAAAAAGACACAAGCTACGAGCGTGGCTATCAGTTCTTGTGGTAACTATGCACTAGTTGGCAGTCTGGGCGGAGCTATTTTTCAGTACAACATGCAGTCTGGAGAAGCTCGTGGTTCGTTTCCGGTGGCGGTGACTCCGAAGCCAAAGATTATTAGCTCGCTCGTGCTACCTGGAACAGATTTGTCGGTACTGCAAGACGACGAATACGACAAGACCGCTGCTGATGCTCATGACGGACCTGTCAGCGCTGTGGCTGTTGATGCCCTTAATAAGACTTTGGTCTCGGCAGGAATCGATGGCAAACTGAAATTTTGGGACTTCCAGAAAGCACGACCTGTGCCACACGATTAATGTGGACTCGCCCATCAGCCAAATGGAGCTGCACCGTGATAGCAATTTGCTATGTGTGGCGTGTGATGACCAAATACTTCGTTTGTTTGATGTGACAACCCGCAAGCTCGTACGTCGTTTCTCCGGACATTCGCATCGTGTGACGGACATGAATTTCAGCTCCGATGCTCGCTGGCTGTTCTCATCGTCGGCTGACGCATCACTGCGCGTGTGGGATATCCCGACGGGCAAGTGTGTTGACTGGATGCGGTTCGAGAAACCTGTAACCGGTTTGGCTGTAGTCGCCTACAGGTGAGTTTCTCGCTACCACGCATGTTGGCCACGTCGGCATTTTTTTGTGGGCAAATCGCAGCTTCTTCACAGAAGTGTATTTAGATTTAGAGCCTACCAGGCCCGTGCTTATGGATATGCCTGTGGCGCTGAATGAGGTGGACAATAGCGACCTGCTTGGCTTTGGCACTGAACGTAATCCTCAGGTATCAGCGGCAAGTGCTGACGAGCTACGGCCTGAAAGTGTCGTGGATGTAAAAAGGTGAAGCGAGCTCGGGACCGCTTGATGATTCTCTGATCACACTCTCAACGGCCCCACGTGCATTTTGGCAATCTCTGTTCAACCTGGAGCTTATCAAGAAGCGTAATAAGCCTATTGAACCTCCCAAGGCACCGGAACATGCTCCTTTTTTTCCTCCAAACTGCTCGTAAGGACGATGTGCACCCTACGTTTGTACCTGTTGCACCTGAAAAGGAGAAGGGTCCTGAGAAGGAGGGGGGGGTGAAGACGTGATGCTGGAAAACTGGGGTGCTCAGGATGGCGATGCAGCATGGGGTGATGATGACGGCGAGGACATGGAAGAGGACGCTGAAGTCACTGCCTCAAGCTCGCGGATCGTCAAAACGGCAGGCATGGTTACTTCTCGCTGCAAATTGGCGACGTTGTTGGCAAAATCGATGCAGAACGAAGAATGTAGCGACCACTCGGCCTCGCGCTTTGCTGACGTGGCGGCATATATGCAGTCGCTTTCTGCGTCCTCAGTGGACGTCGAAATGAGCACGCTGTGTATGGGCGACTTTGATGAGGAGGGCAAAGAAGCGTTGGCTTATTTTCTGAACTTCCTGCACGAGGAGATGCGTACGCGTTGTAACTTTCGGGTGCTTCAAGCCTACCTGAATCGATTCTTGAAACTGCACGAGGAACTATTGGTGGCGGACCCGGTGCTGTTGGCCTCGGCAGATAAACTGGGAGCTGTGCAGCAGCAACAGTGGCAGGACTTTTTTTGCAGAAGCTATTGCACAAATAATTAGGTCTGGTGCACACTTTCAGCAAGATCCAGGATGTAAGTTAACGAGCGTGGTTCGAGTCGCACATTGTGGTTACTCGTTGGCACCGATCCCATTAAATAGTGGCGGTAGAACACGCAATGCAATATTGAATAGACGGAATGAGGTTGCGCTGCGTTTATGGAATTGAAAATATTGCCGTCGGTATCGAGCATCACAATAATTGTTGTGCTTTGTGACGTAGCCACTATCAAACTCCGCTCGATCTTACGACTCACAACGTTTATGAAAACAATTGGTGAGACCCTTTTACTGAAGGTATCGCGGTCAATTCGATACTGTTTTTCTCGGCAATGCTTGTTACAGTGTCATCGCTACACTATCAGGCGGATGGAACGTGTTGGGCGTCTGTAGTATCTAAAGATGTTTTGAACTCAGCACTCATAGTGCAATGGCCGGTATGATGATGGCGCCCATTTAAGCGACAGTCAATACCTATAAAAACAGCGAGGGGATTGTGGATCGGAACACTCAAGATCGCTCAATAGATTCTTCAGAGATCGAGACTGTAGATCCCTTGCCAGTGCTACAAACACCTTCGCTATCTAAAGAAGCCTATTGAGTGGGCTTGTAACCATCAAGGCGTCAAAATGTCTACAATATATAACTAGCATCAACGGCAAGTTGTAGAGGCCCACCCTGCCTGATACTTTTTGCACACCTAGCACACAAAACAATGCAACCTACTGTGGGCATATTGTAGCAGCACATGAAACACTGATAAATTAAAGGGATCGAGCACATCTGA